GTGACGTGACCCCTGAGGTCCCCGAGCCTCCTGCCTCCTGGTGCGGCCTTAGGCCCTCGGAGGCCGTCAGGCTAGTCAGTCTGAATGAGCTCCTTTCCTCCAAGGGCTGGGTTTTGCTGGGAGTCGGAAGCCTGGGTATACACGGAAGGATGGGTCCCTCCTCCTGGCTGCCCTCGGAGCTGGCCGCCTCTAGGGCGGAAGCCCGGCTCCTCTGTGCCTGGGGAGGACGTGGGCAGGGAGTGGGGCAGGACTGACTTCTGAGCCCGAATTTTAAGCTCCCGCCCCCTCTCCTCTGTCCCAGGAGCAGGAGAAGGAGGCCCGGAGCAGGGCGGCCTACATCTCCACGCTCCCCGGCTCGCCGTGCTGGGGGCGGGGCTTCGACGAAGACAAGGACGAGGACGAAGGCTCTCCCGGGGGCTGCAGCCCTGCAGGTGGCAGCGGCGGTGACTTCCACAGACTGGTCTTCTAACGGGAGCCTCCCCTGTTCCTGCGTGTGGGGGCGCCAGCCTCAGGGGAGGCCTGGACGCCTTTCTTCTGGGGGCCCCCGGGCCGAGGGCCTCCGTCAGGAGGCCTCTGAGGGGAGCTGTGGAGGCGGGTCCAGTCCTAAAGGCAGGCCTTCTGAGGGCCAGGAAGGCATAGAGGGAGCTCCTGGGACACGGGGAGTGAGATGGAGAGGAGACCCAAGCCCCTTAGACTTGGCCTTGGGCCCCGGCACTGGACTCGACCCCATTAGGATTTTGCCGAGTGTCCTGGCCCACGTAAGCACCTTAGACGGACACTCTGGCCTTGTCCCCTGCACACCCCTGACAGGGCCGACCCTCACAGCGCCAGTGTTTGCCTTCAAGTAGCCTTGACCTTCTGGCTCTCCGTAGTCGGGCCTGTTGTTGGACAGTATAGAGAGCAGTGCGGGAGCCAGGCCCTGGCACCGAGCGGGGCTGTGCGCCACCTCAGACCGCCCGGCTCTCCCGGAGGCTCACCGGGAACGTGTGGGTGCAGGCGCGGTCTGCGCTCTCCCGAGCGAGGGGAGGCGGGAAGCAGCCTGGCCAAGGGCCAGAGCCTGCCCGCCCCTGACCACGCAGCCATGTCGCATGAGGACAGCCCCTACAGTGGACGCCCTCCCCCTCCCTAGCCTGCCTCAGTGCCTGAGATGCCGCTGTGGGCATCCCCTCTGGGCGAGACGGAGACTCCTCATGTACTACAGTCCCCTGTTTCTCATGGAGCCACTGTGTGCAGGACAGCTGGCTGGCTCAGCTCCCGATGGAGGCCCGGCCTGGGGGCTGGCGGGAGGGACTGGCGGGGAGGGGATTCCTCATGTGCCCTGACACGCTGTACCCCTTCTCCACGGAGAGCAGAGACCCAGGGTCTCAATCAGGAATAAAGCAGGTTCTCTGAAGCCTTTGAAGATGTCGTCCTTCCCAGCCCGTGGCTGTGGTGTGCGCGTGTCTGGGCAGAAAGGAGGGTCCCCTGCTCGCTGGCTTGTCGCGCATCCCACGCGGAGTGGAAGCACCTGCAGGGAAGTGCTCCGTGAACAGGTGAGGACGGGAGGCAGAGGCGGGCGCTGCGGAGGGAAGGGAGAGCGCCCCGTATCCTGAGGAGCGGGGAGCCCTGAGCCTTTGGAGGGGTGCTGGGGGTACAGGCCAGGGGCTGCAGCCCAGTATTGGGGGATTTTCCAACCCCAGGAACCCTGGCCTGTCCCTCAGCAGCTCGTGTGGATACCACATTCCTTCTCCCTTCCCTCCGAGAACCGAGGGGCGGTAGTCTCCCCAGGCCGGACGTGGGCCCCGGCCAGAAAGACAGCTGGGAGGCAGGCCTCCCCAGGGTGTCATGCCACCCGGGGAGGTTGGGGGACACACACAGTCCTCATGGGGAGGCCCTTCGGGAGAACAAACAAGTGGGAACTGGCCAGGGCTCGGTTTCACGGGCCTCGTGATTGTGCTGTAGGTGGAGGAGTTGAGTTTGGGCCCAAGTGTCACAGACCCTCAAATGTCAGCCAGACCCTCAAATGTCAGCTGCAGGGCCCAGCAAAAGTGGGCGGGAGTCTGTTGGCGCCAAGTCACACACATTCGTTTTTCAGCCCCCGGGCAGGGTGCCTTCTAAGAAAGATGAGTTGGCAGAGGTTACTGCAGTTCCCATTTTACACGCCAGGAGGACGGATTCCGAGGTAAGGAGGGTTCATTCTCATTGTTTCTCACCAAGTAACAGTCACTTTCTGTTAAAATGGAAGTGGAGCCGACCGGCTCTTCTCATGGAGCACGCATTCACGCTGACACACAACACACAGGCTGGCCCGGCCAGCCCCCGACCCCTCCGACAGGCACCACGGCCGCCCACGCTGGCTGCTTCTATCGGACTTTATTGTTGTCCTGCTCCAACACCACAGTAAAAAGCAACCTGCGCGTGTCAGGCCTGTACCATGTGTCACCACAGCAAAAAAAACGACCCACACACAAACAAACCCGTGCCCGCCCTCCCCAGACCTACTCACAGGATAAATATGTTACAATTTTTTGTTTAAAAAAAAAAAAAAAAGAAAACAGAATAAATTAATAACTTAAGTGATTAGGCACCAACAGTGATTTGAAAAATTAAATGTCAATTTTAAATGGTAACAGGGAAAGAACCTAAGACGGGGCTTCTCCTAGCCTATCTCTGCTCCTGACAGCAACAACTCTGTGGGAAGGATTCTACATTTTAGGACATGTAACCAACAAACACACACGCACACCACCAAACAGCACATGACGGCCCGACTCCAGTGGGAACCCCCTCCCAGGCGGCCGACCTGGCCCCAGGGAGCTCGGGGTCCCAGGATGATGGCCTGTAGGTGGGGCTTTAAGCTCCGTGGTCAGCTCACCCCTTCCCCCCACCCCCCTCTGCAGAGGGAGGCCCAGCGAGAGGAAGGACGCGCTGCACTCTGCTTCCAGAGCTCGTGGGAGGGTGGGGGTGAGGGGCCTGTCCACGTGGGGGCTGAGGCCTGAACCCCGTGGGAGGTAAGGGGGGCAAAGGGCAGACTGGGGTTGAGCCTGTGCCCCAATCACTGCAGAATGGCCGTGCTTCTGCCCTGTGAACGGGGCGTGTTTGTGCGGTCTCAGATATAGAGGCTATCAGACGCAGTCCAGGGAGGAGACTGGGTTAACTGGCTAATGTGTGGGTGTTACCCATCCCTAGTGATCCAGACTCTCGAGTGAGGTCATAGGAAGGGAGTTCTCCTTTAAAACAGCTGAGCATCAGCCCTGTCGGGGGCCTCAGAGACCTAATCTAACCACCCATTTCACAGACGGGCAAACCAAGGTCCGAAGGAGCGACATCTCCCGGGAGCACCCTCTCCCTCTTGTCTCCCGGTTCCTGCTCTGCTTTCTGTAACCTGGCAGGGGGGGAGCTGGAGGCGGGTGAGTGCGCCCCAGGCGGGAGTCCTGTGTTCAAGGTGCTGAGACAGCAACCCCGGTCCCGCCAGGCCACCAGGAGAGGGAGCTTTGACCCGAGAGGCCAAAGGACCAGTTTTTAAGCTGAGCTGGCAGGTAGGTGCTCACCACCTGGCAGTGTGGGGCGTGTGAGCCAGTGCCCTCTTCTCCTGCCCTTCCTCCCGCCTCTGCCCTAAGACTTTGGGAGGCACGGGATCCAAGAACGGAAGGGAGGGCTCCTTGCAGATCAGATCTGAACACAGTCTCTGAAGATGCCGGCCAGCCCACGTCATGGCACAGGCAGAAATACTGGCACGAGGGCACCCACACCTGGGCCTGCCTGGAGCCTGCTGGGTGCAGGGGTGGCGCCACTAGACACACCCTTCCTGGGGACGCAGTCAGGGCCGGACAGAGGGAACGACGCCCCTGCTCCCGGGAGGCCGCTGCGCCATTGCCCCTCCCCTGCGGGAACCCGGAGCGAGGGCCGTACTCCCCAAGGCCTTCTGTTCCCAAAGCACGAGGCCCGTCACGCCTCCTCTCCCCTTAAACATCCGACCCCTCCTCTCCCTGGACGCCACCTCGTCTGCTCTCAGCTCCTTCCCTGCCCGCCCCCCCCCCCTCCCGGAGCAGCCCCACCTCCTCGTTCAGGCTCCAGCCGCTTGGGGATGGTTGTGCTTCTGCCTGGGGGGGGGGGGGGGGGGCAGCGTTTCCAGTCTCTCGTGGCCATTACTGACGCCTTGTGTCCTCTTCACGTGCAGGGCAGTCTGATCAGTTCCCGGGTCCTCGGGGCCGTCCCAGAGCCTGGGCGCAGCCGCCGTTAATACAGGTTCTGGGTGGGTGACGCTGGGAGGAGGGGGCGGCCATGGGGAAAACAGTTCCTCCAGAATGGGACTTCCTAGGGCGTGGTCAGGCCCTTGGGCTGGGGAGGCGTGCGTACACACACTCACACTCGAAACGGAAACGGAAAGGGGAGCGGTAGCCACCTGCATCCACTGTAGCGGGAAGTCATTTTTGTTAGGCCGGTCTACTCAAACATCTCATCTTCCCAGTTCCCTCTGACACTGGAAAATTTGGCCAGGAACTTATTAACATAAGATTCAGATATCCCCCCCCCGGCTCCCCGCCCCTGCAGCCAGGTTTGGGTCCAACGTGGCCCCTGGGCTGTGAGGGTCCAACACAGGGTGAGACGAGCTGAGAAACACTCAGCGGGCACCAGGCCCGAACCCACGCCAGCCTCCAGGCTCTGCCCTGCTCTCTCCCTCACACTGCTCTCCCCGTCGTCCATCACTGACACCGCGCACACCACGCCCCTCACACCACATCCCTCCTTCACTTGCTGCTCCATCCTGCATCCCCACAGCACTGCCTCGGGCATTCCACCGCGCCCTTTGGGCGCATCTGCTCTGCTGTCCCCGCAAGGCCTTCGCTCCCGCCTCTCATCCATCCGTCACCTGCGCCCCCTGCACTGCTCATCTTGCAAAAACTTGCTGCCTGTCCCCCCTACTGTGTCCATGCACTGCCTTCTGCCCAGCCTCTGCATCACCTCCAGTGCTCCCTAGGCTCCCTCCCTCCCATACCCCCAGCCCCTCCCACGCCTCTCTCAGTGGCGGGAACTGGGAGGTCCTGGGGAAGCTCCCGGGCCGGCCCAAGGACCAGCCTGTGTCCTTGTCTCGTCATCTCCTGGGCTATAAGCCCGTTCCTTGTTGCCCATCGTCCTCAGTTTTCCCCTTCCTTTTGTCCTCATCCTTCTGCCCTCCCACCCGCAACAGGTGCACTGCCATTTGGCTGAAAGGGGGGGATCTAAGTCCTTTATGCCCAGAGACCACCTCTAACCTTCTTAACTCCGCCTCCTTTTGGTGGCCTTGCCTCTCCCCTGCTGAGACAGAAAGGGATCAGGTCCATGTCCACTTTGGTCTGCTGTCCTTGTCGTCCTGGTCAGTGAGACGATGAGCTTTTCCGGGGCGGGGGCGGGGGCGGCGGCGGCAAGGGGGCTGGGCGTGAGCGCGAGGTGTGGAGTCCAGCTCAGAGCCTGGCCCTTCCCTCCTTACACCCGGGAGGTGCTCGGGCCTAAAGGGCAGGAAGCGGCTGAAGGATGCTTTTTGGCGAGCGCCCTCGCTAAGGTGAAGAGGCGTGGCCAGAGGTGGGTCCGGGCCAAGGCAGAGCCTCGTCAGACCTGGCCCCCGTGGGGAAGGCTCAGGGTCCCTGACGTCAGTGCTTTGGAGTCCAGGCTGGCCAAGGAGAGAGGAGGGTGGGAAGGGCAGGAGGAGGGGAGAGGGGAGAGGGGAGGAGCCAGCTCCAGAGCCCGGCCCCCTCCAGGCTCGGCAGCCTGGTCACAGCTTGGCGCCCTTGGAAGGCTCCGAGGACTGCCGCACGTCCGTCCACTCCTGCATGGTGCTCTGCAGCGCCTGGGTCTTCTCCTTGTCCACCTGCACGTAGTCCACCTTCTCGTCGGAGGTGACAGACGACGTGGACGGCTGCAGGTAGAGGGAGCAGAAGTGCTGTGAGAACCCATGAGGGGGGCCGCTCTGAGTGGCTGTAGGAGTCTTGTCTCTTTTTTGAGAGTGGCCTTTAGAGCCTCCGCTCCACATGGCATTACCCCTCCAGCCCCAAGGGGGACCCAGGCCCACAGCTCTGTCCCCACCCACCTTGTGGCCACTCCTCCAGGGGAGGGCACGTGCTGGGTGCCAACCAGCACCAGCCACAGGCCTCTGTGTGTCCCTGCGGGGGACCCGTGCCCGCCCTGCCTCCAGGCTGCCTGCGCCCAGAGTCCCCTCGGCCACAGCGTCCAGAGCAGCGCTCCGGGAGCCACCGGGCAGCGAGCTCTCCACCGGGGTCCCGGGCCTGTCGCTCATCCGCGCTGTGGCCTCCCGCGGAGTGTCTCAGGGTGCTTTCGTGTGCCCACCTCACAGGGGAGGGCCTGGCTGACCAGGTGCTGAGGGCGGGGCTGGGAGCCCTGTAAGGCGGGCTGGAAGCACAGGGAAGCAGCAGGAGGGGAGTGCGGCTGTTTGGGGCGTAGGCACCTTGCGGTGGGGGCTCGGGGAGCTGGGCTGGAAGTCCAGGGCCAGGTAGTCGACGCTGCCGGTGCTCTTCTTAGGGGCTGGGCTGCTGGTGCCGCTGAGGATGGGCGAGGCAGACACTGGGTTTTGCTGTCACAAGGAGGAAAGCCCTGTTAGTAAGTTTGGGAACAGGACTAACCCTCCACCGGAAAGCTTGCCTCAGGGTAGGAGATGCTGAGCAGGGGCGGGAACCAGGCCTGTGCTGGCTCCCAAAACTGCACTCCTCCCGCTGAGCCGTCCTTCCCTTCAGGCCGGCCTCCTCCCTTTCCCTACCCCCCCCCCCAGCCTCCCTCCCACCTCCCGCAGCCCAGCCCTCGCCTGCAGACCCTGAGACGGGAGCCCGTTCCCTTTGTGCACTGGACGCTACAAGGTCTTCTTCTGCAGCCAATCTCCCTCTCTGAAACCCTCACCATGGCCTGCAGCGGGGCGGCCCCAGGGACACTGTGCTCCCCCAGCTCCTCAGAGATCAGCGATGTGCACAGGGTCCTGTCTCCGTCCAGGCCCCAGGGGACCTGCCCAGGATCTTCGCGAAGCCCCGTTCTAGTGAGGAGGGCGACAGTCCTCTGCCTGTGTGGCTGCCCTCTGGCTGGCTGGTGCACGTGCAGCCACCACCCTGCGCCGGGCAGCCGTCCTCGCCTCCACGCCACCTCAGGAGGCCCCGTGGCCCCTGCCTGTGTCTGCGCCCCCCCCCTCCGCGCACACCGCTCGTGGCCCTGAGCACTGGGCGTAAGGAGTGAAGGGCACATCTTTTACCTCTAAAAGGTTTTAACAGGAGGAGGAGGAGGAGCTGACTTTGAAGGGTGCTCCTGCCACCAGGGCTTATTCTGAAACGTCTGTCTAATCACTGGGCCTGCTAACCCTTTCGGGGCTCCCTCCTGCCCGCAGGAGGCACTCGGGGTCCTCCACCCCGTGCCTTTCCCAGCCTGTCCTGCAGGGGCGCTCTCCACACCACCGGTGCCATCACAACAGAGGCCGCCGCCTCGGCCCTAGGACTGCGGCCTCTCCGAGGGGTGGGACCCTGTCTTCAGCGCCTCATGTGGCTCAAGAAAGATTGGCAGCAGCAAACAAAACATGGCGTGACGTGGGGTCCCCGGGCGGAGGGAGGGGCGGGGGCGGGGTCTGAGCGCTGGGCCCAGCGCGCTCACCATGGGGACGTAGTTCTCCTCGCTGTCTCCCGAGTCCGTGCTGGTGATGCTCTGGGTGGAGGTGGGGCGGCAGTACTGGGAGGAGCTGGGGTTGAAGGTGTGGCTGTGGGGTGCGGGGAGGCAAAGGGTAAACCGGGTCGTTTCCAGCCTCCACGGGGGCCCCCAACCCTCACCCCCCCCCCCCACCTCTGCCCTCAGAGCTCCACACGCCACTCCAGGTGAGGAACTGAGTCAGGGCGGATACAGCTGTTCCCCTTCCGATGAGGACCCCGGGCCCCCAGAGACGGAGGCAGGGCTGAGCTACCGACGGCATTATCTATGGTCAGGCCGCGGCCTCCCTAACGCCCGCCTGGCCACCGGGCCCCTCACCGGCCCGCACGGCTCTGGGCCACGCTCCCCCATCCCAAAGGCACTCACACGGCCCTCGACCAGGACTTGGTGACGGGCGACTTGAAGGGGAGCTCGTCGATGACCGTGTTGCTCCGCAGGTCGAGAGGCGTTGGCTTTCCTGGAGCGGGAAGGAGAGTCGTGTTAGCGGCCGTGGATGATGTCACACTTCCCTGTGACACACAGTGTGAGTCTGGGCCTGCTAACCCTTTCGGGGCTCCCTCCTGCCTGCAGGAGGCACTCGGGGTCCTCCACCTCCGAGCCTTTCCCAGCCTGTCCTGCAGGGGCGCTCTCCACACCACCGGTGCCATCACAACAGAGGCCGCCGCCTCGGCCCTAAGACTGCGGCCTCTCTGAGGGGAGGGACCCTGTCTTCAGCGCCTCATGTGGCTCAAGAAAGATGTCACACTGTCCACCCTGGTCTCTCAGAGGGACAGGCTGAGCGGGGATGTGCTCTTTGCCCATTGATAGGCCTCGAAGTCTGTCTTCAGATGCCAAAGAACAGGTTCTTTGCATTGTGTCTACAGAAATCCTATTTCCTCTCTCTCTCTCTCTCTCTCTCTCTCTCTCTCTCTCTCTCTCTCTCTCTCTCTCTCTCTCAAAAAATACATTGATTTTTCACAGAGAGGAAGGGAGAGGGATAGAGAGCCAGAAACATCGATGAGAGAGAAACATCGACCAGCTGCCTCCTGCACACCCCCAACTGGGGATGTGCCCGCAACCAAGGTACATGCCCTTGACCGGAATCAAACCTGGGACCTTTCAGTCCGCAGACCTTTCAGTATTCAGACCGACTGCTCTATCCACTGAGCCAAACCGGTTTTGGCAGGAATCCTATTTTCTGAATCTAAGGTGAGGACAGAGGGTCGGATTGCGGGCTGCTCTCCCCGGAGATGTGACCACGTTTCTAGCTCCCAGGGAGACGCAGGAGGACATAGTATTTCTATGGGAGAATGCCGCCACGACCACCTCTGAACCTGCAGTGGAGGGAGATGAAGGCCCCAGCCTTGCAGGCTTCTGTTCAAACGCTAAGACCTGAATTCCCTGGTAACCAGACCGTGGGCTTATCTCTACCAGAGGTGACTCCACCTCTCCCTCCAGTCCCGACCATGGACCAAGGCGGGGCCTGAAGTGGGAGCAGCCTGGAGCCGGAACTCCAGCCCTCCTCCTGGTCCAGAGGCCGGGACACAGAGCCAACTTCCGGGTGTGTGTGTGTGTGTGTGTGTGTGTCTGCCGTGGATCAGAGTCAACCTCCCGGAGGCTTCCTTCCGAACAAACCCGGAGGCAGGATTACTGTTCCCATTTCACAGACAAAGGATTTGCCCAAAGACACACCCAGGAAGTCTCCGATGAGGATTCCAACCCCCATTTACCAGGTTTGAATGCTCACACCTTCCTATTACGTCAGAGTGGACCCTTTAATAGACCGCCCGTTCCACTCTGTAAACTGACCCCGTTACCCTCACACAGCATTTTATGCATTAGGAGGCACTTTTAGATATAGTACTGTGTTTTCCCGAAAATAAGACCTGCTTACAGGTTTCCTGCTGAGTGAAATATAAGGCATCCCCCGAAAATAAGGCCCCCCCCCCTAGGCTAAACATGAGAGATTTGGTCCACTGATTCTGAAAGAAATGGAGTCACAAGAAATTCACCAGGAAATTCAGGAATTGGATTGTTATGATGATGTTCCAGAAGATGATGACATGATTGTCATTGAATAAATGAGTAAATTCTTGATACTGTAGGATTCACAGTTTGTCTGGTTTGTGTTGACAACTACCGTACCGTATACAGGTAATAAATTTCCTTTATTTTCATTTAACAATAAATGTGTACCGTATTTTTCTTCATGGAAAAATAAGACATCCCCTGAAAATAAGACCTAGCGCATCTTTGGGAGCAAAAATTAATATAAAACACTGTCTTATTTTCGGGGAAACAGGGTAGCTATGCCCCTCAATTCCTTCGGGAGGTATGTATTATATTCTCTTCACAAATAAAGAAACAAGGCTCTGCTAACCGGTTTGGCTCAGTGGATAGAGCCTCGGCCTGTGGACTGAAAGGTCCCAGGTTCGATTCCGGTCAAGGGCATGTACCTTGTTTGCGGGCACATCCCAATAGGAGGTGTACCACAGGAGGCAGCTGATCGATGTGATGTTTTGCTCTCATTGATGTTTCTCTCTATCCCTCTCCTTTCCTGTTAAAAATCAATAAAATATATTAAAGAAAAAGAAAAAAAAGAAACAAGGCTCAGACACAAAACAATTTGTCTCTACTCACACGTCAGCAGGTGATGGAGCGGAAACCTAAATGTGGCCTGTCCTGGTCCTCCCCCACTTCTGGACTCCAGGCTTCTCCCTCAGTCAGTCGCTAAGGGGCCAGACCACTGGGACGCATTAGCAGGGTTAGTGTATGTGTGAGACTTTGGGGTGGTGCAGGCTCCAGGGGCGACCCTTTCCTTGCAAGTAAAGTACAGGATCCCCGCTTGATCGCTAAATGAATGGCCACAGCCCCTGGCCGTCGTCCAGAGATGGGACCAGGAAGGAGCGGACTTACCTTTGCGGTCGGGTTTGAGGTTGCGGTTGACAGGGGGCGGCTGGATCTCACTCCCCCGGCCGGGGCCTCGATGCAGAGGAAGGGCTGTCGCGGGGTAGCTGAGCGGGTCGAAGAGATGGGGTCCTGGGCTCATGGGGATGTAGACGCTCTGCGAGTTGTCACCAGCTCGCTCCAAGGCCAGCAGGGTGGAGGAGCCGGGGTTCATGGGCACATAGTTGTCTTCGGAGTTGGTGCTGTCTGACCGGCCTCTGAGTGTTTTCTCCGGCTAGGAAGGAAAGCGAAGGAAACACAGCATCACTGGCAAGAAACCAGAGGGGTGAGGACCTATGCACAAGGCAGGAAAAGGAATGACTAGTGAGGTGCGTGGTGAGGCTACAAGGCAGACCCTGGGAAAACAAAGAAAGTGGGCAACAGGAAGTTCCCCTGTGGGGGGCCTTCTAGCGCCCAGGCTTCCTTGGGGCTCCCCTGTAGTTTTTGATAAATGTTTAGCATGAAATCTCCTTGGTGGCTGGGCCCATGAGGCTTTCCGCCTGCCCCGGGCAGAGGCCGTGGCTGCACCGTTAGTTCAGGACCTGCCTCCACCTCAGTGTGGACGCACCATTGGGAAGTCCCTGCGCTGGGCCAGGGGCACATCAGAAGCCTGGGCCCTGGCAGGTGAGGGCTGGGCCGGCTGCGCCACCCAGGCCAGCTCTCAGGGTGAGCACGGTGCAGGCAGAGCTGCCAGGGTGTGCAGTGCGGCAACCCTGACCACAGCCTTCCTTCCGAAAGGGTTAGAGAGAATAAGTCGGGGCAGGGGAACCTCATTGTGCTCGGGAGACCTCTTGTAGAAAGAGCGCAGCCCGGAGCTCCGCACAGCCTAGGCAACCGCTGGACATCAGTCACCCGGAGCAACCAAGGACGGGACCCGCCAGTCGGCTCTGTGCGCCCACAGAAACTGCTTGCAGACAGCAGAAGCTAAAAATGCCTGCCTCCCACTCAGTCTGCCCTGACTCCTTTTTCCCCCATTCAGCCCACCTGCACCCAGGAGCTTGGAATAAAAGTTCTTTACGATACAATATGGCCTCATGCCATGTCACTCAGAACCTTCCACCGTCATCTCTTGCCCTGTGCGTCCAGACGTATAATGAAGCTGCCTCTGCTTTGGTGACCTAATTCCCAGTCTTTCCCACGCACCTGAGGCCAGGCCCAGTCTGCTCTGCTAGGGCCTGACACCTTGCAGAACTGTGGTCAGTCGCTGCAGAGGCCGGCCTGGGATCCTGCCGCTGAGCCTGACTGGGCCACTGCTGCCCGCAGCCTCTCCCAAGCCTCTCCTCCCGGGAGACCTGGCAGGCGAGGACGCAGCCTGAGATCCGCCATCCCAGAGCCTGGGCCCTCTGCATGGAGACCCTCCTGCTTACCCACAGCCTTGTCGTCCAGTGTACACACATTTCCTCCCCAGCGGCATACCTGTATCTGTCTGAATATCGACCCAGGGTGCCCTGATTGGGTGGCTCAGTTGGTTGGAGCATCGTCTCAGACACCAGAAGGTTGCGGGTTCAATACCGGGTCAGAGCATATACCTGGGTTGTGGGTTCCATCCCGGATCAGGGCATGTACGGGAGGCAACCATTGGTGTTTCTCTCATATGGGTGTTTCTCTTCCTCTCCCTTGCCCTTCCTTTCTCTAAAATGAATAAACATATCCTCAGGCGAGGACAAAAACAATCACACAAACTCAAAACTCAACCCAGGGCTCTGAACTGAGACAAGAATTAGGCAGTGTCTTGAGAGGGAGATGCTGTCACTCTTGGGGTGATCTTACCCCATCTGAGCTGCCCGAGGATGCCCGGTTGGGGCCACTCACCAGGAAAGAACTGACTCCGTCACTCATGGATTCTGCAGACCGGCCCGCACTCTCTCCGCCTCGCTGCGGGGGGTCGTAGGACTCACAGGAAGAAGCTGCAGCAGAGGAAGGAAGACCAGATGCACTCCGTTTCCTGTGTACGGACACTCCCCCAGACCCTCCCCTGTTGCTGAGACTCCAGAAGCCACTCCTCCCTGCCCTGTGATCAGGCATTATCCTGCCACATCTCCCTGCAGCTCAGAAGTTCCTCCCAGGCTCCCAGTTCCAGTGCCAGTATCTATGTCATGTCACTCAGAACCTTCCACCGTCATCTCTTGCCCTGTGCGTCCAGACGTATAACCCCCACCCCCCTCTTCACCCTCATTTATGCACCTTTCCTCTAACCACAGCCCTAACCACCCAGGCCGCTCACCAGCCACCACTGACTCCTGACTGACGTGCACACGTTGATTTTACTTCCCCAACTGTGTGTGTGCTCTCTGAAGGGCAGGAGCATGCTCTCTGTGTCTCTGCCATCTCTGTCCCGAAGCGAGTGAGTGAGTGTGTGTGTGTGTGTGTGTGTGTGTGTGTGTGACTGATCAAACGGGATGCACTGCAAGACTGCAGAGTGCTGAGCAGGAGTCAGGGCCCAGGTCCAAGGCCCATCTCTACCCCTAAACCAGTGTCTCAACTAGCTCAGGCCTCACGGGGAATGGAGGCGAGGCTTTGTCTCACCGAATTCTCAGGGCTCTACTGGCTTCAACAATAGAACAGATATAAAACAGGCTTTGCAAGTTACAAAGCAAATGCAAAGGAAATGTTAGACTGTCTCACTGACCAGAGGAGATTGATTATGTGCAGGGCTGTAATACTCTACGTGGAAAACGTAGAAGCTCAGACTTTACACAGAGATTCAAGGGGGTGCTTAGGAAATGTTCTGAGGATCTAATTTTATTTTAATATTTGCTTGTCCATGTAGGTTTGGCTCCAGTTTGGATAGGACCTCGACGTTGATTTTTGCAATCTCTGGCTTGATCTACAAATGAGTAAAATACTATGGTTTAGATTTCCAAAACCCATAACACGCTGTAACGTGGTTAAACAAGAATGCTCTATCTCCCTTGGTGGAATATCAGTTTGTCTGAGGCAGGGTCTGCTACACTCTAGCCAGTGTGGGTGTCCACTAACTGCCTCCAGTGCTGGAGGGATGATGTCAGTGACCGGGCTGGTCCTCCCATCTCCTGAGCACGCATGGCCACAGACCACCAAACTGCTGAGAAGCCCCGTGCTACCTCCCCCTCCCCCTCCCCCTGGGCCTCAGCTGGGCTTGCACTGACCTCGGTGAAGCCTGCTGTTGTCCATAGCGGGGAGGGTGTTGCGCCGGGGGATGGTGGCGGCAGAGACCGATCTGCTGTTCTCGCCGATGGGGGGTCTCTGCTGAGCGCTGGCCCAGCGAGGTGTTTCAGCCTGGCTTGGCTTGGGGGGTCTGGGTGGGGGAGCCATGGCCGAGTCCCCAGGAGCGCCCACTGCCATGGCGTTGTGGTTCTTGTCCAGCGTGAAGGTCCGAGGGATCTGGTACGCGGAGTGGGGGGTGGCCGGCACCTCCATATTGTCCACCAGGAGGTCCCCGAACTCCCGGCACAGGGCGTTGCTGGGCGTCTTGAAGGCGTACACGTCCTCATTATCCGTCTCGGAGCCCGTGAGGCTGCCCTTGGTGTGGCCGTGGGCGGCCAGGCTCCGGGGCAGGTCGTAGGCACTGTCTCTGAAGTCTATGTTGTGCCGGCTCGGCTTGGGGAGGCTATAGAAGCCGTGGACTTGGCCGCTGACCCCGTTGACGCAGTGTCCGTTGCCCTGGGCCAGCTTCTGTACGGCTGTGTCACTCCTCATGAGGAACGAGGCCCTGGTGCCCTGGGAGAAGCTGGCACTCCTGAGAGAGAAAGGAGGGACGGGGCCGGTGGTGAGAAGAGGCCAGGACTGCCCACCCAGGGAGGCCAAACCCCGTGCAGCTCCTTGGTGCGGGGCAAACACAGGGCGCAGAGGCCGGCCGGTCTGAGGTTTGCCTCAGTTTACTAGCTGTGTGACCTTGGGCAAGGCACTTTCTCTCTCGGAGCGTCAGTTTATGCACCTGAGAAAATGGTGACTAAAAACCTACTTGGAAGGTTATTCAGAAACTAGACTAGTATAGAGATGTTCCATCAATGTCAGCCTTGTTTGTTCCTTTTTAAAAAAATTTTTTTTAATTTAGGTTTTTGGGCAATAAGGTAAAACCAAGCAGTTTAAAGACATAGGAGTAGAGGGATTTGGGTTAGGCCCCAGATAGGCCACTGATACACTCTGTGAGCTTCATTGAGGTCCTTCCCAAGGTGTGACCCCAAGGAGTGACCTCCCCACGGTGTGACTTGCACAAGGTCTGACCTTGTGGGTCTCAAAGGGTCCATTTGGCTCTGCAGCAGTGTAGCCTTTGGTTTATAAGCGTGGTTTTTGAGCTGGACTTTGTGTTCTGTGTAGGTAGGTACCTTGGGAAAGTGGAGGGTGAGGTTTTAAACGTAGGGATCCAGGTCTGGTTTTCTCTCTCTTACATTATGATCTTTCATTGGATTTCAGTTGGGGGGGGGAAAGTAATCACTATTCTAGAAAAATCCTTTGTAGTAGTGAATCTGTCTGTTGGACTTGAGCACTGTTGGGGGTTATAAGCTGCTAAGAATCAGATAACAAGCTCTTGGAATTTTTCCCTGGAGTAAGGCAGGCATTGTATATATATACGATTTGCAGGCTAAATCTGGGGGGCTAGGGTGTCATAACCCTCTGAGGCCCATCCACGGAGCTCCTGCCTTATACTAGCTCTTCCAGCTCATGAGGAGCTTGTTACTTACAAACATGGCCACCAGATGGCGGTAGAGAACAGGGCCCAGAGGCCTAGAATGAGGAAGGGAAACAGGTGTCTAGGCCAGGCTCTCTCATGTAAACTTGCATCCATTTCAGTCACCCAACCTTTAGCAGCCCTCCTCTGCTGGCCTCTATTTTCTCTCCCTTTCCATTCCAACCACACACATGGCCAAGCTGCCAGCCCTGGCCAAGTTCACTAGCCACTTAGCCTGGAGGTGATGCAGTGCTTGGAGCGGAGGAGGGCAGGAGGGGTTCACATGATTCTCGTTTGTCTGTGGTGCCTTTCATTTTGATGTCTGGAATGTCCAGCTCCCTGTTGGATGATCCTATCTGCATTACTTCATGTAACAAACACGCACTGACGTCCTGCTTTCCATCTGGGCTGGCCAGGCATAATGGATACAGGGATGCCTCCTGCTCTGGGTGAGGAGGTCAGGGGTGGAGGAGGGGACACACAGGCAAATCATCATGATCACGTGGGTCAGCAGATGCTGTGGACAGATGTATACTAACTCTCCCTGGGGGGCGGGTGGTACCCAATGCCAGGGGAACGCTGCTCCAAAGATGCTCCCTTCCAGTGAGTCTGGCAATTGGCCAGGCAAAAGGCAAGGGAAGGGAAAAGGTGTTCCAGTTAGAGGCACAGGAAGTAGAACACAACCTGGCATGTTCAAGGGACTGCAGTCTGCTCTGGCTGGAGCCAGTGTGCCAGGAGGCATGATGGGAATTGGCCCCCAACACCCCGGGAGGATTTATTTTATTATTTTATTTTATTGATTTTTCACAGAGAGGAAGGAAGAGGGATAGAGAGTTAGAAACATCGATGAGAGAGAAGCATCGATCAGCCGCCTCCTGCACACCTCCTACTGGGATGTGCCCGCAACCAAGATATATTATATTCCCTTGACCGGAACCGAACTGGGACCCTTCAGTCCGCAGGCCGATGCTCTATCCACCAAGCCAAACCTGTTTCGGCCCCTGGGAGGATTTTAAGGTGGAGGTGAGGCTGTGGAGGGGACAGCATGACAGGTGTCCTGCAGTAGCAGGACATACTCAGGAACGAATTCATCCTTTTCCTCCTGACCTTCTGTCTTGGAAATGGAACCAGTCATCCAAGCCTGTTACCCACATTATGAGTTTTCACTCAATAACGTCACCCAATTCAGGCCTCTAGCAAAAGGGCTAGAAAAAGCCTCCCTACCATCTGCCCAGGGCTTCTCATTCCACTGACATTTACTTTCCTCACTGCCCAGTGTAATCATTTTCAAAACTGTCTCACATTCCGACTCCAAAGCATCTCTCCAATCTCTTCCCACAGGTCCCCCTTCCCACTCCAGGCTCCACTCCCGCCAGACTGCCCGGCGTCCCCAGGCTGCCCCCGCAGCCGTGCCTCTGGGCTTTGTTGTGCTGCTGGCTGTCTGAAGGGCTCTTACTCCCAGCTGACCAGCTCCTACCCTTTCTTCCTCAAACTCAGCCCAAAAGACTGCTCACCAGCCTCTCCCTTGAAGCAAGTCAGCCTGCACCCTCTCCAATGTGAGACCCCTCGGGGGAGGTCTGACTGCTGAACATCCCTCTTACAATCCGGGACCATTGGCTCCTAACAGCTCACCTGCCTGATGGCCTCCAAATGCCCTCCCCTGTGGGCATGATTGCCCACACCTGCAGTCCCCTACCGTGACCCGCCTCCTCCACCAGGCCCCACCTCCGCTGTGCGCACAGCCATCTGGTGACGGCTCTCTTTTGACATTAGGATGTGATGCATGAGGGCGTGATGCCACCTCGGCTATTATGAGTGTAGATTCTTGACTGTATTCCCTATACTGTACTTTACGCCCCCGTGGCTATTTTGAAACTATCAGCTTGTACCTCTTAATCCCTTCATCTTTTCACTCAGCCATCCAACCCCCTCCCTCCTGGCAATCATCAGTTTTTCCTCTGTGTCTATGGGTCTGTTTAGGTTTTCTATGTGTGTTTTGTTTGTTTTGTAGGTTGCACATATAAGTGAAATCCTATAGTATTTGTCTTTATCTGTCTGACTTATTTCACTTTGCATAATACCCTCTAGGTTCATCCATGTTGTCACAAATGATAAGATTTTGTTATTTTTTTTTTATGGCTGAGTAATATTCCATTGTACATATGTACCACCACATCTTGTTTATTCAGCTATCAAGGTTGCTTCCATACGTTGGCTATTGTAAGTAATGCTGCAGTGAACATAGGAGTGAATATATTTTTTGAATTAGTGCTTTATATCAGCGGTCTGCGGACCACTGGTGGGCATGAGGCCCATGGCGACCACTGGTTTAAGGGAACCTTCGGAGCAGCGTTCGCTAACCGCTGGTCTGCGGACTACTGGTGGTCCACGAGGTCTGAAAGGTTGGCGACCGCTGCTTTAGATTTCTGTGGATAAAAACCCAGAAGTGGGGTTGCTGAGTCATGGAGTTCTATTTTTAATTTTTTGAGGAACCTCCATACTGTTTTCCACAGTGTCTGCACCAGTCTGCGCTGCCACCCACAGCGCACAAGGGTTCCCCTTTCTCCACATCCTGGCCAACACTTGCTGTTTGTTGATTTTTCGATGGCAGCCCTTCTGACAGGTGTGAGATGATATCTCACTGTGGTTTAAACTTGCATGTCTCCCATGACTGGTGTCACTAGCAATCTTAGGAAGTCATTTGGACCGTCCTCCTGCATCTGACCCATCCCAAATGGATCCCTCCTGTGAGGTTTAACAGCCTCCTTGAAATAAGAAGACAGAGACTGGCTCCAATCTGGAATGAGGCCCGAAGGCTGGCAAACAAAAATGAAACGCATGTATCTTCACAGACAAAGGGGCTCTGCTGGTCTTGACGGTTCAGTTCACGAAGTTCCTTCCACAGGCAAGGGTTACTATGCCGAGGGGTTACTTAACTTAGCTCAGTAGAAGAGCTGGGTTTTGAAACTAAATCGTTTTAACCAGGACACATGTTACTCAGTACTCAAAGGGAGAATCGGGGCCGGTGGTGTAGTAAAAGTAATGATGAGTAAGTTGAGGCTTTATCTCTAATGTGCTTCATCGATTGTGACTGTATGGCAGGTTCCTCCATAAATGTAGAAAGGAATAGACAGAAGACTGGTATCATTAGCCTCGTAAATACAAACTGACCGTAGTAATCCAACCAGGCATGTATGTCTGTGCTTGACAGCAATGAACGAGCTGGTTCTGTCTTCCAAGTCTCTGCTCAAAAGGAAGCCTGTAAGGTTATTGTGGCGATCAAACGAGGTAACAAGTGGGAAAGTGCTTTGTCAACTGCAAAGCATTATTCCTTTTTTGCAGACCACCCAGTGTGCAGTGTGAATGTCGGAGGCAGTGCAGGCTGAGAGCCCACCCACATTCTCGCCGGCACTGGGCATTGCTAGTCTTTTTTATTTCAGCCCTTCTGGTGGAGATGCAGCAAACCTCACGAAGGTTTTAATTTGCATTTTCTTGGCGAGTCAGCATTTTCCCATGTATTTCTTGCCCTATTCCTGTATCTTTTTTGTGTGATATATCTGTTCGAATTCTTTGCCCACTTAAAAAAATTGGGTTGTCTTCAATTGAGTTGAAATAGTTTCTTAAAATATATTTTAGAAATAAATCCTTTGTCAGACATATGTGCTTTGAATAGTTTCTCACATTCTATTAGTTGCCATTTTCTTTTCTTATGGGGTTCTTTTGAGGAGCAAACATTTGGATTTTGATTAAAACTACTTTATCGTACAAGGAACAGATTGACAGACGTTAGAGAGGAGGCGGGCAGAAGGGACTGGATGAAAGAAGGTGAAGGGATGAGCCAGAGAACATCTCTGCATAAGCCATATACATAGACAACAGTGAGGTGATAGCCAGAGGGAAGCGGGAACAAGGGCTACTGGAAGTGGGCAAAGGCGGGAAAACGGGGGTATGTAATAGTGTCAACAATAAAGAATAAAGTAAAAAACTATCTCCTTGACCCAGTGTGGCTCAGTGGCAGAGCGCTGGCCCACACACCATGGGGTCTCAGGTTCGATTCCTCGACAAGGGTACAGACCTGCGTTGCAGGTTTGTTTCTGGCCCTGGTTCCCGGTGTGGGCAGGAGGTGACCAATACATGTTTGTCTGTCTATCTGTCCTCCCTCTCTCGCACACATCCTCCCTCCCTTCCTCTCTCGAAAAATCAATGGAGGAAAACTATCCTCGGGTGAAGATTAACAACGATAACAATCTCCCCCAAAATACGACTTTATCCAATTTCTCTTTTATGATTCCTGCTTTTTGTATCCTATATAAAATTCTTTGCTTACTCCAAGATCATAGAGATGTTTCTTCTACAAGTTTCATAGTGTTAGACTTCACTTTTAGATCTCTGATATATTTGAGTTAACTTTTGAGTAGCGTGATATGAAGTAAGGGTTCTTTTAATTTTTTTGGTAAAAAAAAATAAATATTTTTTTTATTGATTTCAGAGATGATGGGAAAGAGAGAGAGAGATAGACACATCAAGGATGAAAGAGAATCATTGATTGGTTGCCTCCTACATGCTTCCTACTGGGGATCGAGCCCGCAACCCCAGCATGGGCCCTGACAGGGAATCGAATTGTGTTCTCCTGGTTCATAGGCCGACACAACCACTGAGCCATGCTGGCTGGGTGAGATATGTTACATTTTGGTGAATCTCTGTATGCTGAGAAATTTTGGACTAAATCCTGAATGTTGTGATCTTAGGCTGCCTAGGCTCTGGGTTCTGGTATAATCCTCTGGAGAATGTCTATGATCTTGTTTTTGCAGGCTACAAATTTTGACTCTTCTGTGTGGTAGTGCAAATCTCAGATTTGTTTACAAAGCCTATGCTATATTGGTTTGGGAATGTCCCACCCTTAGAACTGGAACTCCTAAGTTCTTTTTCAGAGTTTCTATCTCTCTCCTATATTTAACAATCTCTTCACTCATTATCAGTCCCGCTCCATATAGTAAAGCAATAAATATCATCATTGAAAGTCTTTGTATTCTAGCTCCAAAATTTGGGTGTACTTTGGTTTGTTTCTATGAACTGAGTTCTCTCAACTATGGGTCAACTTTTACTGTTTCTTCATGTGCCTAACAGTTTCTCGTTGCATACTACATATTTTGGGTGATAGGAATTTCCCTCATAGGAAAAGCCATGAGAGTTGGACCCACTCAGTGTGGGTCCGTTTTTTCAAGAGTCCAATCTTTTCCAGTCTCTGCCTGCTTCTTGATTGCTCTTAAGTGCCTTCAAACAGTTTTTGTGTGTTTTATCCAGAGTTTATAATTGTTACAGTATGTTTAGTATCATGCACTACTCCACTCCTACCAGAAACTATATAGTCCTTCTGGACTGAAAAACGCTTCCTTCCCACCCCCCATTGGAATTCTGCAAAAAAAGTTTGAACTAATTTTCCCCCCCAAAAATCCCCCCTTGGTTTCTGCTCATCACCCTCTTCCTCTAACGCCCACACAGTGAAAACAAAGACACAGAGAACAGCACAGTGGTCAGGGCCCCACACAAAGGCGCTTCCCCAGCTGCAGGTATGTTCTGTCACCTTTACTGTGTTTGCTCCGCAACACGGGTTTGTCCAAATACTTCCCATGTACCTACTGGTGTCCTGGATCTTCAAACACAGTAACATATTAATATCCAGAATACGAGGCACAGGGTTCCAAGCGCTGTGAGGAATATCATCAAAACCTGCTACGGTAATTCAGAGGAGAGATGAAATTCCAGAGGTTCTGCAGGGAGTGGGTCCCAAGTGCTAATTCAAGCAGAGACATTTATGTGTTTGCTCTCTTGCTGTAGCAGTATCATGGGACTGGAGGGGAGGTCGTGGTAGCTGCTAATATTGTATAAGGTCAAAGAAGGGGTGAGGAACCATTTTTTTCCTGCCAAGGACCATTCGGATAATTATAACATCATTCGAGGGCCATACAACATTATCAACTTAAAAATAAGCTTGCTATATTTGGTCAAACATTTAATTAACTTTCGCCTAATGCCTTGGCCAGACTAGACCAAATGATCTCTCAGGATGCTTATGGCCCACGGGATGGGTGTTCCCGCCCATGCCTTAACGTGTGGACAGCAGACAGTCTAAACAGCATCATATGTTGTTTGACAGAAAGGCAGGACCCACTGCGGGCCTCCTCAGTCAGAACCAGCATTTCTACAAGATCCCTGGGTATTTCATAAGTGAATTAAAGTCTGAGAGGCATTAAAATACAGCACTTTGTCCTTCCCTGGAACTATGATTTTAAGAACTCTTGCACATTCTCTACTCCCGGGCAATCATTGTGTAGTAGGAGGGGATGAGGCACAGGAGAACAACAGGTGACATGGGCTGAGCATCCACGACTGTTTTGTCATTTTACGCTCATTAGAAAGCCTTTGCACTGGTTATTTCCATTTAGCAGAAAGGAAATGGAAGGTCAAGAAGGTTAACCAAATGGCTCAAGATCACAAGGGCAGTGGCAGAGCAGAAATTTGAAGCCATATGTGTAATCTGCTTTTCATCGCAGCCACTGCCTGCATCTGAGCTGCAGCTCAGGAGGAAATCAACAGCCGTCATGGTTCTGCCACGAACAAATTCGGTGATCTTGGTTAATTCATCCTGCCTTTTTAGAACACAGCTCTTCAGGGCTAAGTTGATGGAGGCTCAATTCATGAAAGTTCACAGACAAATGAATCGAATGGGTACTTGAGACTTCACTAAGTCTGAGTTTTGGGCGTTTCTGTCGGGTGATGGCAAATGACTCAGAAAACCAGAACCAAGGAGAAAATATTACAGGGCCAGATATGAGAAGACCTGAGTTCTAGTCCCACCTCTGTCATTTACTAGTCGTAAGCCTCCGTGTCTTCATCTATGAAAGGAAGATAAATGGCCATGCTGGCTCTCTCTCAGTGTGTTTGGTTCGAGTGAGGTTATGCATGAAAATATTCTGTAAAGTAAAATATTACAACAGCCAGTCCTCTAATTGCCTTAATTCTCATAACACAAATTAGATAGCTATAAATAAATTAATTAAGGAACATGATTTATAATCTGCCGTCCATGGTAGTGATTGGGAAATAGCCCTGACTAAGCTCTGTGCTTTTGTTTGTCCTAACAGTAGAAATAAAAGGTAATAAACATATGTATGCACAGGCTCTGCACCTGTGAGAGAGCTGGCGGTGGTAGAAAAACAAGATAATTTTTCTAGAGCAGGGAGTCCTTGCTGTGAAATTGGCTGTGATGATGACGTTTCATATCCCTACTGCCTAGTACAGTAGTCACTAGCCACATGGGGTGACTGAGCACTTGAAATGTAGCTAGTGCAACAGAGGAACTGAATTTAAAATTTTATTGTTTAACTGATTCAAATTTAATTAGCCACAGGGGGATAGTGGCAACCATATAGAACAGTGCAGCTCTACAGAGAAAGTGAGATGTGTATTTGTTTAATACTGTGAAGTCTTTGTGGCTATCTTCTTAAGGCCAACAAGTAACCTAACTTGTATTTTTCATTTCTGAAACTCTAGCCCTAAAATACTCCCCCCCCAAAAAAATAAATAAAAAGTTTTTATAGCATAATTTTTAACAATGGGATCCAATTATCACTGTATAGCAACAGAGACGATACCAAGGAAATGTGACCGTTGCCTAAGTGAAAAAATGTTTTGTCCTATAAGCACGCATTTTATCATCTGGAAAGATACAACACTGTAGTCCCTTGCATTTAAAATGAAAGCGTGGCCAAAACCGGTTTGGCTCAGTGGACAGAGCGTTGGCCTGCGGACTGAAGGGTCCCGGGTTCGATTCCGGTCAAGGGCATGTACCTTGGTTGTGGGCACATCCCCAGTAGGGGGTGTGCAAGAGGCAGCTGATGAATGATTCTCTCTCATCGATGTTTCTAACTCTTTATCCCTTTCTCTTCCTCTCAGTAAAAAAAAAAAAAAAAAAAAAAAAAAACAATATAATATATCAAAAATAAAAATAAAAAAATAAAATGAAAGCACGCAGATGGGAAAGTGGCAGGCCCGGGGGCCACATCTCCTACCTGGCGTTCTCCACTCTCCGGCTGATGCACTGGTGCAGGTAGAGATACTCCTGGGGTGCGCTGGTGGACAAGGCGGGCTGCATGTGGTTGGACACGGGGGGCTCGAAGGTGAACAGGGTCGGCTGGCTGGAGTGGGACGGGGCTGAGGACTTCCGTTCTCGGAGAAGGTGCTGATGGGAGCCGCCGAACTCGCCTGGAGAGGAGCGGGCGCCGTGGCCGGCCGAGGGGATGTTCCTCAGGGAATCTGTGACAAGGAGAAAGGACTCTGTGAGTGAGGAAGGAAAGGTGTCCTTATTCCAGAGTGGGTCGTCGGAGCAAGAACTGTCGAGCGCGGAGGGATGGTCCAGCGGCAGCGGCCTCTCCCTCCCAGAGAGGCGGCTGGCCACGTGGTGGAGCAGGAGATGCCCTCATCTGCCCCCCTTCCAGGAGGCGTGGCCCCCATGGCCCGGGGGCGCGACTCTGGAGCAAGGCCAGCCCCTGGGCAGGGGGTACCACTGCCGGCCTTCTCTTTGGTGGCTCTGCTGTCATCACCCCCTCAGAGCTAAGGCTGCTTTGTGAAATGATGCCTTGCTTCTTGAAGACTCATCCGCTGAGACTCTGGGCTGTGCCTTACTCTATTAATGACAAAGGCACACATGCATTCAGAGCTGTCCCTGGGGACGGGCTGGTGCCTCCTGCCTGCCTTCTGAGTCCTCTGAGGAGGGAAGTGTCTCCCGTTCCCATCTCTCGCACCTACCACTCTGTCCACTGGTCTTTTTTCTCTTAACTCTTAAGCTCTCGCCTGCGGTGCTAGAAAGGAAGCGAGGTATTAAAGACAGTTACTAGTTCGAAGCTACACCCCAAGCCAAGGGCATGATTTATCTGACTGGCTCTGTGAGCCTGGTTCAGACTCTTAGCATAACACACAAGGCCGTTCCCAGTCTGACCTATTTCCTGCTTTTCTCCTCCCCTATGCAAGGCAGGTGGAAGCCTCATCGGTCCCTGAACACCCCCTCCCCTTTCACGCTTCTCTGTTTCCGCTGATGCGTCCCTCCCACCTGGATCTCACTCCCACTCCCTGGCACTCCCGTGCCGATGCCAGACCCCGCATGGATATCGCATTCTCTCTGAAACCTTCCCGGACTTGGCCATTGTGCTGGGCGCCGAGAGCATTTGGCCCACGCCTCGCTGTGTCCACTGTCACCGCGCTTCCGTGCCTCGCCCACGGGTTTCTAAGAACAGTGATTGATGTCTTTACAGTCTCCGCATTTACCTAATAAAGGCAGGCACACAAGAAAGTCCTGTCTGTGTTTGCAGAAGAGGCAAACATATTCACTCGGCGTATAATAGTTCCCTAACAGTGAAACACCTTGTGCAAAAGAGATGAAGGTTTAACGGTGTAATTTCTGGCCACGTGACAGCTGGGGGGGGGAGAGTCGTTTAGGGGTGGTGACAGTGGCTTTCTAGGGCCCATTCACATCATTTCAAAGGGGGCACAGTTCTGCTTCCACTCCCGGCTATCGGACCTACCTCAGTCTGCACCCTCTGCAAGGCCCCAGGCAGGCTCCCAAGCTCCTCCAGCTCTGCAGCTAAAACCCTCCCACGGCCCCTGACAGTAGGCAGGGCAGCCTCTGCCCATGCACAGGAGAAAAAGCCCTGGGCCCTGGGGACAAACGGTTCCAGGGACAGCTGAACTGACCTGCAAAGTGAGATCCCATACAGGCCTCGCAGTGAACTGGACACGTGTTCACAGACTCAGTGGCCTCCGTACGCCATGCGATTTGCAGGATGAGCTCCCTAATGGCCGAGGAGAGAGGGCTTGGGCCAGGGGACGAGGAGCCATGGCGCCAGGATGAACAAACTCCGGTCTAGCTGGAATCTCAGAAAGTGACCTCATTGGAAAATAGGGTCTTCAAGATGTAACTAGTTTAGATGAGGTCATCCTGGATTAGGGTGGGCCCTGACCCCAATGTCTGGTGTCTTTGCAGGAAGAGAAAACAGAGATACAGAGACACACAGAGTGGAATGCCACGTAATGACGGAGGCAGAGACTGGACAAACAAAATGCAATATGTCCACACGGAGGAACATGGGCCAGCTGCAGAAATAAGCGGAATACTGATTCCTGCTGCCACATGGACGGATCTTCAAAACACGCTGCTAAGCCAAAGAAACCAGTGATGAGACTACGGTTGTGGGGTTCCATTTACATGAAATGTCCTGAGTTGGTAGATCCAGAGAGATAGAGAGTAGGCTAGTGGTTGCCTGGGGGGTGGGAATGGATAGTGATTGCTATGAGCATGTGTTTCTCCTTGGGGCGATGAACATTTTCTAAAATTCAATGTAGTGGTGGCTGCACAACCTTGTGAATATAATTACACCACTGAACTGTGCACTTTAGGTGGGTGAATTTTGTGGGAAACAGATCTCAGTAAATTTATAAACACAAACCCATGGTTTGACAGTTCCTCAAAAGGTTAAACACAGAGTTACCATATGACCCAGCAATTCCACTCATAGGGATATACCCAGGAGAATGAACACGTATGTCCACACAAGAACTTGTACACGAAAGTTCCCAACAGTGTTATTCATAACTAGAAGTCTGGTGCATGAAAATTCGTACACTTGGGGGGGGGGGGGGAGAGTAGGTGTCCCTTATCCTGGCCTGCGCCCTCTCATACTCCTGTACCCCTCGGGGGATATCCACCTGCTGGCTTAAGCCCGATCCCCTGGGGAGCAGTTAGACATCTCTCTGGCAGCCCAGGAACCCTCGGGGGATGTCCCAGTGATGGCTCCTAAGCCTCAGTCGGACATCCTTAGCGCTGCAAGGAGGCAGGAGAGTCTCCCGCCACTGCCCCTGTACTCACAGCCATCAGCCTGGCTTGTGGCTGAGCAGAGCTCCCCCTGTGGAGCACACTGACCATCAGGGGTCAGCTCCGGCATTGAGCATATGCCCCCCGGTGGTCATTGCACGTCATAGCGACCAGTCGTTCCAGGTTGTTCCACTGTCAGGTCAGTTTGCATATTACCCTTTTATTATTATATATAGGATAACAGCCAGAAGTAGAAACAACCCAAATGTCTACAGACTGATCAATAAACAAACACAAGGTGGCATATTTGTAAAACGGAACGTTATCTACCAGTAAAAAGAACAAAGTCTGAGTACATGTTATAACATGTATAAACCTTGCAAACATCATGCTAAGTAAAAAGAAGCTAGAGTTCATTTATATAAAACGTCCAGAATTGACAAACGTAGAGTCGGAAGACCAGATGAATGATTGCCTAGGGCTGGGGTAAGGATGGGGAGTGGGAAGTGATTGCTCGTGAGTGTGAGATTTCTTTGGGGGCGGTAATCATGTTCCAAAATTAGATGGTGGTCGTGGCCACACAACCCTGTGAATATACTAAAACACACTGACTTGTACCCTTTAAGTGGGTGACACATGGTGTGTGAATTTAGAAAACATACACGTATACAAAGGCAGGAGCCCTCTGCCAAGTATGAAGTGTTAAGTGTATGCAAGAGCTCAACAATAGTCTAATTAAAGACATCCAACCCTTAGTGCTTATTTCCTTTTTGAAGAGGAAACTGAACACTCAATAAACACCAAGTCCTTACTAAAGTGTGGACGAAAGGGCCACACGCTAACCTGACAAGCTCAGGGGCGGCCTGCACGGCCATCTTGCAAACTCAAGAGACCTGAAGTAACCAGGAAGGATGGTCTGCAATGAAAACTTTAACTAAAAGCAGTCATGGGTGGGCAGTTACATCCTAGGCCACTGTCTTCACTGACAAGGTCAACCTTTACCTTAACGGAGCTTATCTGTCTTTTTTGCATGTATGATAATATACCCTTTGAAAAGTCTGGGTAACTTGTAACGTCCCTTTTTCTGGAGCCCTTGGGACACAGCCTAATGTGCTGGGCGCCAGGACAGAGACTACAGATTCCTTCATTATCGTGTTAATTGTTCCTGCACCCGCCTAAGTATGTGTCCATCATGTCACTTTTTATCCAATCTCAGGGGCTTCGCGCCACTTACCTGACCCCCCAACCCCCCCCAATTTGCTTTCTCCAGCCTCTCTAGTCTATCACCAATGGATTTCATGTAACCCACCTACATCCCTTTCCTATGATGGCGAATACAGATGTAACCCACCATTCTCCAGAGCATTATCTCAATTCATTGAGGTTCTGCTTCCTGGCATATGTCGACAGTTTGGCTCAAATAAACTCACAAAAATTCTTTACAGCTTTCAAATTTTTTTCCTGTTAACAAAAGTATACTAAGTAAGAGCATTCTCTCTTTCCTACCTTCAGTTCCCTATTTCTGCTCAGGGCTTCCCTTCGTAATCATAGCAAGTCAATGGGAAATTCAGCAAAACAGAACAGCAAGTTCGCTAGGTTTGGGATGAAAAGACACAAGCGGTCTGAAATCCCGCTCCTCGGTGACTGGACCTCCTGCAATGGCAGGAGTCAGGAGACCCAGGATCCGGTCCGGCTCTGCCACCCGGCAGCTGGGAGACTGGACGGCCTCTCCCAGTGCGGGTTCCACATTATCAAATGGGGAGGCCACGCCCTGGCCTGCCTGCCAGTCTCCCCAGGCTGCAGAAGATGAATGAGATAAGGGTGTGCAAACAAATCCGTCCATTTGCATAAACCGCACACAGAGGATGTGTGGGAACCTCCGTCCAGAGGGAAGGGGGGAATGGTAAATATAGAGGAAAACCTTAAACGGAGCCGTGAGAGGCTGGTTTTGTTACCTGGCTGGAATGACTGAGGTCATTGGGAAGGTCAGTTACAGGGCAAGAAGCAAATGGACGTTTCCAGACTTCTGGCCTGGGCTTCTATCTCCAAGTCTAGACTGAAGATAATGCCAGAAAATGCCTGAGTCAATTTGTTTTCTTTTAAAACCGGGGTTTTGTTTTTCCTCTTCTTCCTGGCTTCTTTTTAGGGCCCTACCAAATCACTCCCCTTCCTTTCCACAATCACCCCTGGGAAGCCTGCCCAGCATATAAACACTCCTCCCATCTTGCAAAACTCTAGAACAGGAAAGCTCTGAAGGATTTCAGCCGAGGAGCCCAGCCTGGCCGGCCAGCCAAGGGCTGGGCTAGTGATAACAGGAGCAGGAAAGGGGCGGGTGGCGGAACTTTCTGGAAAAGATGACTGGCCAAATAATGACTGTTCCCTTATCTCAATGCCCTTTTTATCTTCCTCCTCTCCCTCAACATCCCCGCCCCAAGCCCCGGTGGGCCTCCGAACCCGTCGCGTGGTGGAT